AAAATGATGACTCTTAACTTGCAGTTGAGAGGTTGGGCTTATTTTAAAAATAATCTTATAAATAATTATTTGGCAAAGATAAAGTACTAGCTTTCATTAGCCTTAAACCGCTCAAGAGAGCAACTACAACTTTAAGGAAAAGAAAAAAACAATTTCCCAACAGTATCTCCATGCCTACTGTTTGCTTCTCATTAAATTATCCTCTTTTCATGGAGGGGCACTAGACACACCACACTGCCTGACAATGCAAAATTGCTCAGGAAAGCACTCGTGAAGCAGTCCTATCTCACAGGGCAGGTTACTGGAGAAAATCATCCTTTGCCATATAAGCTATGCGACGATAATTGGAACATTATTCCATTGCATAGTCTGTCACTTGGTGGGTTGAGTTTAATTGCTATTTACTATCGTGAACTGTTTACTAGCTACATAACCTACCCAGATGTGCAAATTGCTAAGCCATTTGTACAGAGGAAAAACAATGTCTTAAGTACTTTAATTAAAATAATATTAACAATTATGTAGAGTGTGGAGGAGAAAAACACATCTTTCCTTCGGATGCTATAGATCACAGCCAGTGGGTATTACACATTAGAATGGAATTCAGATTCTCAGAGCATTAACTGCAGCAACTCTGAAAATTAAATCACATTAACACAACCTAACTGGCCTTTATAAATGGTCCCAAAGAACTGCAGATACAGAGTGAACCTTCTTTGCCACTATTTCCCAGGAGTTTAACACTAGAATGAAAGCTAGTTTCCACCTAATTAGAACCTTATATAAAATTTCTTTTTGATTCCAGTATTGCCTTATTATATATAGCATAAGTGCTATTTTAAAAGACAGTAATTTTCGTATTTCTGGAGTAAAAGACACTTCATTCCTTTCCTTACAAAATAACGGCCAGTCTACTACTGCTAGACTGGGACTGCCCCGTTAGCCAAAGGAAAACGTAACGGGTACCTCCGAGTTCTCAGATGTCCTTCTGTCTTCCCAAAAGGGGCTCACAAGAAACAGCAAGAGCAACGCAGATCGCAAGCTCGGATGTTTGTTTTGAAGTAGATGAAATGAGAGGGAAAATTTGTTTTTTGCTAGTTCCTCAGACCCACACTGGTACTTTCTACAGGTGCCCTGTCTTCAGCTATCACTGTGGGCATCTAAACAAAAATGAATTTACTCAAAGTTTTTGGTGTGAAGCTGTAACTGGCAACATTCCTGATCATTTCATGCCTCCTTACTAGAAAGCAGAAAAGGGCTTAAAAATGCACAGAAAACAGAAAATTGCAAACGATAAAATGTGCAACTTACTGCAAACTCAGTTTTGATAACTGAAGAATTTTAAGCAGCTACCACGAGGGACAAATAGCCAGAAACGTTCAAATCGACATCCCATGACTTTCCCTTCGTTGTCAAAGAAAGTCAATGTGCATACACCAATTTTACCTCAATAAAAAAGAAAGTCAATGGGCTGCTCTGCTACAACCTTTAATTAGTACTCAATGGAGACGAAATCCAATCACAGGGAATGGACAGTTATCACGTGATGATTCTAGTGGGATGTGAAAAGAGTTCAGCAAACCAAATGACACTTCTGAGCAGAGGTAACTACTCATAATCATTTCATTACAGTACATTAAAATAAAAAAGCTTACCAACATAGGTTCACAGGTGAGAAATATTCAAATTATCTGTTCTCACCATTCGGAATAGATTTATGGTGCTACCAAATATAATTTTGCTTTGTGACATAATTTATAATTTAGAAATTTCTCAATCTGCAAAAAAGGCAAAGCTATTAAAAATAAATCTTCCAATCAATTATCATGATTAAAAAAAAACTAAATATATTACAAACATATTTTTGGCCCACAAAAAGAAACTTCAATAAATACAAAATAGGGCATATAATGATTTCATACAGTCATGTGACATTTCCCCTCCATAATCTCAGGCACGTGGTATCTGCATAATGCCTGCTGATTACCATCATTCCTTTAAAAAGCAGAGAAAGAAAAGCTTTCAAAAGAAGGGACTGGTTAGAATTAGCATGACATAAAGAGACTACGTACAGGAAATAGGAAAATACATCCAAATCTTTACCTATTGAAAAGGAATTAAGATCAAATATTCCCTGACAAATGAATTATTATATCACATCATCAATAGATATGTTCTCTCTACTCATCTTTTAAAATATATATATGTAAATTAGACTAGACTCAGGTATAAATAGCCAACGGTATCTCAGGGGACAGTGAAACTTCTCAGCAAAAGCAGAGTACAGATGCTTTGAAAATCTAGTTCCGCCCTGGGGGAAAGCGGTGGGGAGAAGGCAGGTACAAAGAAACCTCACATATTCATTCCATAGTCACCAACTTACTAAACTACCCAGTATGATTTTTAACCCTAAAATTCTGGTACTTTGAAAAACTTTTCCCAAAACTTAAACTTAAGTACTTAAAATTCTTTTAAAAGTACCAAAGGGTGGGTAAAATTTATGTCTAATTCCCATATTCTGCCTTGAAAGAAACTTTAAAATGTGTATCCTTCAGATATTACACATCACTTCACAACTGGTACACTGATTCTACAAGTGTCTTCAACATTTTACAAATCTTACCAAAGAATCACTACTGTAAACATGAAAAATTCAAAAGCAAAAGATGGATCAAGGAGTTTACAGATCTCATCTTTCCAAACCTATCTGACCTATCCTGGTTTTCACATCAAAATATTTTCTTTAATTACATCTTGCAAATGTACTCCATGGGAGAGGGATTTAGAAACAAATGCATGTCTAGAAAGGCCGTATTACCAACCACCAGACCTCAGAATCGCAGCAACCCCGCAGTCACTCCAGGCAAGCTTTTCACGACATCCGCAGGGCACTGACGTGAATTCAGCTTTTTGTGTTCTGGGCTAACTCAGCAGAAAAGGGTTGTGCTATTCATGCCACCAGACCACCACCCTCTCCCTTCAGGAAACTCAGTTAACTCAGTGGGAAAGAATGACCGACCTTGTTAGGGTTGTGAGATGTGGGAAAGGAGAAGAGCCTTCTACTCATTAGGAAAACAAAATAACAATGGGACAGCTGCTTCCTGCCCTGCACAAAGACACACGCGTGGGCGCACACATACACACAGGCAGTCAAAAGACTAATTTTTTTCTTTTTAATTAAACGTGATCACAATTAGGAATGGAATCCTGGCCTCATGTGGTGTTCGGCAGTTGGCGCCCAGCCAGGGCCCCGATCTGCCTCCACAGACATTTGCTATCTCTTACACAGGAACTCGATGAACAGGACCATTCTCCCTAGAACCACCCATGTAAAGACCTGGTAATAGAATGGAAAGCACTGATCTGAATACTAGGAAATAGTAAAGGGCACTGGTAATCTGAGGTATCTTCCACTTCTAGGACTTGCTGCTAAAAATCGATTCTATCCAGTCACTGTGCTGAGCCACTAAGGAAACCACGGCGGGAGAGCGGACCTGCCAGGAGGGAATGAGCACCAGTGCGCAGGAGCACATGTGAACACTGAGGCGAGGTCCGCTGCAGGGCGACTTGTTCAACTGGAAAAGGGAGTTCTCCTCTAGTCCCCACCTGTTATGTTTAAAATCTTCTTTAGGAAAAGGGGGGAGGGGTGATAAGGAGGAAAAAAAAGATAGAAAACACCAGGTTCCCCACCTGCCTGCAAACACACAGACACGCTCAGTTAGGGGAGGTAAAGGGAGAAGACGCATTATTGGTACTTGTAGCTGTGGCACCTGTTACTGTGAAGCCTGTAGGAGGGGCTATAGAGCTGTGGCTGGGCTGCAGGTCCTTAGGAATGCCACTGTGAGAACTCAGCTGGTGGCCGAAGGCTGCGCTGAACTGAGGGAGTTGCTGCTTGGGAGAGGTGGAGGCCATGAGTTCAGCAGAAGGCCCCATGCCACTGAAGCTGGTCTGCGGTAACCCCGGAAGCACGCTGGAGCTGCTGGGGGTCACGGTGGCGAAGGCAGGCTGTGTGGTCTCTGAGTTCGAAGTGGTGGGTGGCGTGGATAGGGAAGTGGAAAGAAGATGTCCATCTGCGCCGAGAAGGTTGCTAAATGGAGAGGGATCTCCAAGGTTGACAGGGAGATTGCCCCAGTGAGTTCTGGGGTTCACGACTCCTCCAAGTGGCACCTCAAGTTGGGTTGGGAGCAAGTGCTGCGCCATGATGGGCATCTCTGCTGAAAAGGTAGCTGCCATATTATCACCCGAGTAAGATGTTGTGTGGGGAGAGGTGATATGGTCACTGTAGGGAGACGGCACATGCTCGCTATCATAATGGCTTCCATGGGGCGAGGAGTGTGAATGATCACTGCTGTATTGCTGTCGTGAGGTGATTAGGTCATCTGCCTTGCTCAGCAGCTGGGCAGGATGTGGCCTCTGGGAGGCATGGCTGCCATCATGAAGTCCATGAAACTGTCCTGGGAAGGCTCTCTCCCCAAGTGCACTCTGGCTGATCAGAGTGGCAGAAGTAAGGCCAACGTTGGCTGGGGCAGAGAACTGCCCCTGGATCTGCCCTGCCAGGGGTGTAGGTGGGTTAGACAAGGTAGCAGAACGGAGCAGGTTCTCATCCAGCTCTAGACTAGAAAAATTGTCGTGTACGATTCGCCCATTCAACAGCTCCCCCAGGTCCGCATTTACCTCTCGGCTCAAGGACTGAATTCCTGACGCTCCAGTCCCTGTGGAGAAAACCCCTATTCCTCTATCTGACAACTCCTGGACGGGCACACCATCTGACTGGGTGAGCACCCCAATGGTACTCAGGCACTCGAGAGAAGTCACGGCCTGCAAGGCCCGTTCAAGTTCCTCAGCCTCTTCGGTGGTGGGGAGGAGGTCTCCGTTCTTTCCTGAGTAAACAAGAGCCATCAACAATCAGCAGAGAGCCCAGAAATAAACCCACACACCTACGGTCAATTACTCTTCAACAAAGGAGGCAAGAATATACAACGGAGAAAAGACAGCCTTTCGGCAAGTGTTGTTGGGAAAGCTGGATGGATGCATGTGAATTAATGAAGTCAGAACACACCCTCACACCATACACAAAAATAAACTCAAAATGGCTTAAAGACTTAAATACAAGACATGACATCACAAATCTAGAAGAGAACACAGGCAAAACATTCTCTGGCATAAATCATAGCAATGTTCTTCTCCTAGGTCAGTCTCCCAAGGCAAAAGGAATAAAAGCAAAAATAAACAAATGGGACCTAATTAAACTTACAAGCTTTTGCACAGCAAAGGAAACCATAAACAATCAGCAGGGCTTTGGCTGTGCCAGACCACAAAAATCATACATGTGAATTACTTGTAACAACAGTATTAAAAAGAGTCCCCATTGAAAAGAGGAGTTCCCAAAGTCCGGACTGGAAGGAAACAATGAAATACTCATCTGCAGGACAGGTCTGAAGTGTCAAGCTGTCCTGGACCCTGAATCACATCTTGAGTTTATTTTTCAGTACTCTCAAAAACCATCTTATAGGGGGGAGTGTAATAGCTCAGTGGTAGAGGGCGTGCTTAGCGTGTACAGGTCCTGGGTTCAATCCCCAGTACCTCCATTAAAACACACGCACACACACACATACACGCACACACACATACATACACACACATATATACACACACACAATAAACTTAATTAACATCCTCCAAAAAAAGAATATAAAAAAGAGTTACCATAAGTTACTCTATTACTTGAATTAAAAAAAAACAAAACCATCTTTTCAAAGTGTTCAGTTCTTAGGGATTCTAAGGATTACCAATTTAAAACTCAAGGTGACTATCTGATTACATGTATGTTTTTACCTAAAATTATTAACGTCATTAAAATAGAAAACCTATCAATAGTTCAGATGTGAGACAAAGGCTGTGGAGGAGGAGTCCCCTCAGTTCTTCTATTCTTGGAGTCTCGGGCGCTGTGAAGACTAGAATACAGAACCTCATACGTCTATTTTACTAGCACAACACCGAGCACTCAGCTCATTTCATAGCTTGGTTACCTTTTAAAATGCTTTTGCATTACCTTCTACTCCTCCCTTCTCATTCTCCCATTTCTAAAGAATTTTCATAAAATGGAAGCCCATGTGCCTACACTGATTTCATTTTCAATATAAAAAAATCTATCATTAGGAACTTGACTAATCACCACAAAAATACCTAGTTTTTAATGGTGGAAGAAACCTTCTAAGAGTATAGAAGATTTTCCCCTGAAAGCACTAAAGAATTGGTGGGATTAAGCAAGTTTTGATCTGGAAAAGTGCACTTCATTTGTAGTGGGATATTAAAATGAGGAAAAGTTCTGAAAGCCTTCAGTAAATTCAAGTTTAAAATGTCTTTGTTCAAAAATAAAGTAAAATTACTCATTTTAAAGGAATGAAGTTATAAGCCTACCTATCAAACCTATCAATCTACTAAATCTACAATATCATTTTAAAAACTGCACATGCATCACTTCCTAAAAAAGGGAAAAATAGCTTCAGTATTTTATATTTTCTACCTATAGTGAAAGACATGTGGGGAGGAACACTTCAAACAAGTCTCAAAAAAACTATTTCCCTTTTTTAAAAACTCATTTTAAAAACCAGTCTTCTTGAATCAAAATATTGACCATACCTTCAAAAAAATCAAAATCTTGTAAGTCATCAGGTAGCCGTGGCAGGACATCTGAAAAGTCCTCCTGGTTCAATTCCAAGTCGTGTGGAATGTCGGTGATCTCATTGGCAATGTCATCCGGCAACTCATCAGCACTCAGCTCTGGCGTGGATGGGCTCCTGGCAAAGATGACATGGTTGGCCCCACCACCCCATTTTTACCTACCCACCAATGTCACCTAGACAAGTTTGTCAAATACGAAAATGGAAAATCCTAACTCAAAATGTCTCCTTTCCTACTTTAAGAAAATTTGAAACCAAAATGACAGACCTCACCATACGTAGTCACGTATTTCTACAACTTTTCCCATGTGTTAAGAGAAGACAACCATTCTGAAATAATATTTTTACTGCAAATTAGTGGAATGAATCACAATTTGGTATATTAGTAGAATGGATTACAATTTGGTATATCAAGTATCTTAATACTTTTTAGTAGAATTTAAAAACTGGTCAAAATAATAATTTTTAAAAATGAAACATAAAACTAAGATGTTTGCTGAAACAGAAGCCTCATTCATCTGGTCAAAATGCTTACCCTTGCCCCAAATTAATAATGCATCAGATTTCTGATGGAATATCTGTTGGAACATGTATGGAATTTCTGTTGAAACAGAAAGCTCTGAGAGTGGCCAATTAGATTCTCAATTTCAGCATCTGCTCCCTTGGTTATAATCAAAAGCTTTATTTCAGATCTAACCTTATCCACTATTTAGTAAAAACTGTCCTGAAAACTATGAAGTCTAGGCTGACACACCAAATGGTTCCTGTAGCCCACTTCTAACACTAGAAAACTAAAAGAAGCCAGATGTTCTGAGAACAAGCAGAACAAGTAAAGGTGGCGGAAACTCTGGCGCCGTCACTGACCGGATCTGAGAGGCCTCCACTGGCAGTGAGACGCTGGTGGGCATGCTGAGGTTCCCCTGGGGGACTGCAGGGGGGATGGGTTTCTGGGGTCGACGAGGTCCACGCCTTCTCTTCTTCTTGTGTTTTTTGGTAAGCGCAGGAGGCTTGGTTTTTTTCCTGGGTTTCCTCTGCTGCTGGTGCTGAACTTTACGGGAGCTATCTCCTCTTAAGAAATTATCCTTTGAAATAAATGAACGGGTATTTTTAAACTGAAATTATTTGGGGAAAACCTAACAGCTATCTAAAAAAACCCTGTATCTCTTAAATATACTAATATATGGTGCCTAAAACTATGTATGACAATAGAAAATGAGTAAGAAATTCATTCAAAAATTTGATTCAAATCAATTCAATACATACAATAGTTCATCCCACATTTTAAGGCATTGTGATAGATACTGCAGTGGAAAAATTATGAATATACTTTGATTTGTGCTCTCAAAGAACTTATTTATTAGTCTCTCATGGGAAAAACGAGAATATAAATATACATAAATATAGTAGAAAAAATTGGGCAATGATGATATAAACACCTTCTAAGAGTGCACAAAAGGAAAATCCATTATTTTATGTGAGATTAAAGGATAAACAGGATTTGAAATCCTTGGGATAATGGAGAAGATCACTCTAGGCTAAAGGAAATGGCACAAACAAGATAAAAAGAATAGCGAATACTTGAGTGTGACTGTTGCCTGGGGTATAATGAAGGATAAAATGTAACAGTAAGCTGTAAAGAAGTTTGGGGCCAGATCATGTATGATTTTGAATACCCTGTTAAGGATTTTAAACTTTCTTTTACTGCAGTGGGGAATGATTTTTGATCAGGGAAATACATTGTTTAAAAGCATTAACTATCCGGGTAGCAAGGTAAAGGTCCAGAGAGAAGAGGCAATTGAATGGAGGCAACAGTTCCAATGGGAGGGCAACTTGAACAGTGCACACAAGATAGATGGCTGAGGGCGAAGTCAGCAGGAGTGGAAGAGCAAGGGCCTGCTGGGAGAGAAGTCTCAAGATTTGACAGTTCCTTGGATATATAAAATTCTCAGGTGTTTCTAGGGTTTCTAGTTTGGGTGACTGTTAGATGATGATTCCATTAGCTGGGATGGAGAACACAGCAGAATAAAGAGACTCAGAAGAAAAGTCAAGGAATTCAGTTAGGCTCACTTATAGTTTGAGGTGTGAAGATGTCCAGGGAGGTAGGAGAGAACTGTATCTGATGCTCAGGAATAAAGAAAGAGATGGAGATGCAGACTTGGAAATCGTGACACAGTAAAAGTCCTTCAAGAAACTGGCATGGGCCAGAGAGACAAGGTAAAAAGAGAAAACGGTGGGGACACAGTTTATAAAACTGCTGCAATTTAGTGAGGAGGCAAAATAAGAACTAGGAAGAACAAGAAATTGACAATATAACTAGCTTTCTTCAACTAGTACCCTTAAATCTGAATACTGTATTTCATCAATTCCCAGATGCACATTTTAATATCTCTGTAACAGGGAGCATTTTACAATAATGACATCTTATAACTGCTGTTGGCCAGATGATGGTCATTATAACTGGCATTGCCTGCCCACGCTCAAAGCTGGTCATAGCTCTTTGTACTGTCATCATCTGAATTAAGGCATGTGCATCATTGGTTTTACATGTAGAAGAAAAACTGTTCTGTATGCAGAAAGGCACAAAGAGCAGCAGGATATAAAACTGTTATTAGAGAAGCAAATATTCATTATTGAAGAACTGACCACAATCCCCTCCTCCTTTATTGCAAAGCAACAACCAAATGAGAAAGGAAAATAACCACAAAGTGGACAAAGCTGTGTTATAGTTGATGTATGTAGAAAATACTGCCTTTCACATATCAAGAATTAGCTGAAACCAAGAGCAATAGAGAAGATAAAAATATCTAAGTCTAAAGAAGCTATTTTGATAAGCATAAAACACAAATTTTAAGTAACGAGAAACCCACGGGCAGCATTTTTTCTTTCTTAGTGGTACATAAACAGTAGTGGTTTTTATAAGTTGATGAATTCAGTAATAATTCTTATAACCAAATACATAAAAAAGTGTAGACAATAGTATTTGAAGACTAACTATCACTATCATCAAACGTATTCAAAATAAGAAAGAATAAAATTAAGCATAAAAATTCAAGAAATCTGAAAGAAGTTTAATCCCAACCAAATACTTGAATCCAAACACAATTACAAAAGTCACAAATGCATCAATTTGGAAAACAACAGAAAAGAGGCTGCTTCCTAGCCTCTGTGTTTCCTTTCGACTCAACACTCGAGGTCTACTTTTATTATGCCCACTATGTAACTGAATAAACAGGGAGTAAGCAGCTACCGTCACCCATCAGGTGCTGGCATCCATCTCAGGATTTCCCTCTAGGTCCAGTCCGAGCGTCAGGCAGGAGGAAGTAAACGAGCTCTAGCCCAGAACAGAATACACAAGCCCTCCTGTAAGACTCCCGTTATCACCTGGTTCTGGTTCCAGGCTTGTGTCTTATTCTCCTAACCTTGTACTTTGTAGCCTGGCAACGTTTTTGGTAACGTGCCAGGCCCTCCACACAGAAGCGCCCATGCCGGAGGCCCTGCCCCACTCTTGGTACTCCCTCACTTAGCTCCTCCGGAGAGCCCGAGCACCTGTGTCCCAGAGGCTTTCCTAAAGCCAACTGTTCATTCACCTACACTACTTACAATCACTGTTCACTTGCAGCATTCTCACTGTCCCATTCTACTTCTGCGTCAGGGCAATGCATTTAGTAACTGACCACTTGCTGTGTGGTCTCATACCTGCTGAATACCATGCTTTGCCTGCCAGCCTGGACTTCCTGCAGCTTGAGCCTCTTCTACCAATGGCTGTCCTATGCAGTGGCTGAGTCTAGTTGCGAACCTCAAGCCCCCTGCCCCACAAGTCATGCACCTAACTGGTAATTTAGTCCTCAATTACTTACAAAGCATCTTTGTTCTAAGCACTGAGGATATTGCAATGAACTAAAAACGTTCCTGCCTTTGTGAAGTTTACATTCTAGGAGGGGATAAAGACAACAAACTAATTAACAATGTTAGACAGATTTAAATGTGAGGAAGAAAAGTGAGTAGAGTATGAAGATAAAAAGTGGCAGGGTTCAGGAGACGAGGAAGACTTCTTTGATAAACAGATATTTGATCAGAAACCTGAAAGAAATGAAGGAGTGAGACATGCAGAAATCTGGGAGAATAACATTCCAGGAAAAGAGAAAAACAAGTGCAAAGGCCCTGAGGTGGGAGCATACTTCGAGTGTTCAAGAAAGAGCAAGAAGGCCAATGCTGCTGGAACCTGGAAGTGAGGCAAGGGCATAAAAAGAAGCTGGAGTGCTCACTTCATCAGCACATACACTAAAATTGGAACCATCAAGAGAAGATTAGTATGGTCCCTGAGCAAGGATGACACACAAATTCATAAAGCATTCCATATGTTTATCTCAATTATGAAAGAAAAAAAAAAAGAACCTGGAGAGGTTGCAAGGGCTGGATCAGGAAGTGCCTCACAGAGCATAAGAATTCTAGATTGGATTCTAAATGCGATGGGAAGCCACTGGAAAGTTTTGATCAGGGAACCAAAATGATCACATGTATATTCTAAAAGGCGTGCTCTAAAGGCTATATCTTGTATGATCCCATTTATAAGACATTCTGAAAAATGTAAAATTATAGGGACAGAAACAGATCAGTGGGGAGCTGACTACAAGGGGGCAGCACTAGACAATTAGGGGAGTTGGTGATGGAACTGTTCTGTATCTTGATTATGGCGGCAGTTTCACAACTGTAAGCACTGTCAAGACTCAGGACTGCATACCAGAAAGACTGAATGTTACTATATGTAAATTTAAAGACAGTGGAACTCACACACATGGTCTACTCTGGCTGCTGTGTGGGCAATACATCGGGGTGCAGAGAAGCATGGCAGGAAGAAGGGAGGCTAATTAGGAGACTATTACAATAATGCAGGCAAAGGTAACGGTAGCTAAGGCTAGGATGATAAAAGTGAAGTTGGTAAAATGCATTTGAATTCAAGATATAGTTTGAAAGTAGAGCCATGAGATTTGCACAGTGTTTGTCACCCAGTCTTAAGTCTCTCATGGAGGACTAATGGAATATAAGTCCTTGTTATACCCTCTTATGTAATTTTTAACTTTAAAATAGCTCAAACTAGTGTCAGATTCTGTAACTGCCTTCAGAGAGGAAACTATTTGTATTAAATTGTAAAAACTTTGTATTGAAAATATCCCTTAAAAACCTGATTCATTTTATTTATGTTCTTATTTTACATTATTATATAAAATATATATTTATGACTAATTTTATACTAATTCAACCTTACATTTGCCTAGCTGAATTGGCCTCAGCAGAAATGTTTAACCAGCTGAAAAGAATAAAGTGCTTTCAATTTCTTCAAAAGCATTCACATAATTGTTATACTAATCAACAACTCATTAAATCAATAAAGCAGATCCTAAAATATAGCCTCCCTATTTAACAATATTTTCCTTGTCTTATTAGAAGTATGCTGGAATGGCATAATATTAAAATCAAAATTTACAACCAGAATTATTTAATTCAGTGGTTTGAAAGCTGCAGTGCTGGTATTACCAAGGGCCTGTGAAATCATCATGAGGATCCATAAAAAGTGGTTCAGAAAACATATGGAAGTCACTCCTAAGCCATGATAAAGCCTCAACAAGCTAACAAAAGTTTTAAATGTTTTAAAATTAAAATGTGAAAATAATTATTTAATGTTTATACATGTAGTTTAGTATATACAACTATTCAAAATATCTGGTCCATAAAAGAAATCTAAAAAAAACCAAAAGAGGTTCTTGGAGAAGAAGCCGGTAAACTTCAAACATGGCAACTGAGGTCTAGAAGAGATGACGCTATAGTCCTCGCTGTACATTTAGCTGGTGGCAATGCCGGGATCACAGCCTTACACCATTATGTCCTGGCCCGGTGGCCATTTAGTTGCCCTGATGCACCCCTGAGAACTGAAATACGCTTACAAAAGGTAAGAGCTGTCTTACTCAACTTTTTAGTACTTAAAGTACCTAGCACGATACTTTGCAAACAGCAGAAGAACTCAGTAAGTGTCTGACAGGTAAAATGCATATATTTTAAGTAACTACATAATTCAGATAGTTCACTAGTTCAGACTTGTCTCTCCTCCAAATTATCCTGAATTAATTAGGGTTTATGATACTAGCATTAACTGAGGAAATAATTAAGTTCAATCGAATTATAATAAAGTTTGGCTTTTGGCTGAAATTTCATCAAATATCCAAGGCATTTGCAGAACTGTATATAAAAAAGCAAAAACCTAAAGAAATGGGGCAAAGAAAAGGCTTAGGAAATCTGCCTATGTATAATAAAATGTATCTTAAGGAGAAGAGAGTATGTACAGAATAGGTACAGATGCAAACAAAATGACTATATCTTCTAGAACAGTGTGCTTTTTTGTTTTTTAATGAGGGTATAAAATGAATTCAATGGTTATATCAAGTTTTTTTTTTAAGGAAACAGAACAGAGTATAAAATATGAGGTATTAAATAAAAAAGCATTGTTTCATAAAACTCAGTTCAGTGATTCATATACACACATAATTTTGGACTGAGTCACAAAATATTTCCTACTGTGGATAGCTATCAGAACTCTGAAAGCCTCTGCTGCAGAAAATAAAATGTGAGCTTACCATTTTTTTGGCATGTTCTTCACACAGAGGCGTCTGGTGTGTAATGTCAAAAACGGGCACAGAGCACTGCTGTCCATCTGCAAACTTGGCCGTGCAACTTGAGAATAGTTGCTGGGAGCGGTTCAAGAGGATATCTGTGTTTTTTTTAAGTTAAGAATAAAATACATTGAAACTCTATCAAATTTTTCAATTTCTTATAAAACTTGCTTTTTCCCTTACTTGTGCTTAATAAGTATAAATTTTATTATCTATAAAAGCTAAAGAACCAACCCAACTACTGATATAGGAAAATTACAGTAGTTAAATGTACCATCCTCATTGATCAGAAGATCCTTCTGAAGGAGTCTATTTTGCTAAATGGGCTCCTAACCTGAGTCGCCCTTATGGCCGTTCTGGTTTATGTTATTTGGAGAAGCAGGGTCATTTCCTTATTAACACACTCCTAAAGTTCAGCTATGATGGTTTAAAAAAAAAAAAAAAAGAAACACAACTTTAAGAAAAATTTCTGCCTATTATACTCATCAAGAATAAATATTTAAGGATATAATTACCAAACTCATCTATCCAAATTTGGGTATTTATTTCACATTTTCAACACCAAACTCAAATTTACAGCTTACAAGAAATTACTTTAAAATCAAAACCATACTATTAAAATTTGAATGTCCACTTTTTTTATCATTAACATTTTTTACACATCGATACTTTTAGCCACTAACTACATTTCCACAGATTTGCTTTATATCTATTAAGGAAGTATCTTTCATTTTTCTTTTATGCTTTTACAGTTAAGGCTATTTATCAAGCCTTTACTGCATAGAAACTGTTGCTGAAAAAGCTGTGAAAAGACAATGCGAATGCCAAGAACAGAAAGGAAGGCAAAAATCAAATAGGTGGTTTAGAAGAGTATATAATTGCTACCATGCTAAATTTTTTTAAATGCTACTCAACTTTAAATGTTTAGTGAAATTGAAAGTAATAAGATTTCATAACCAGCCTGAAGCTCTCTAACGTAGGTTTTCCTCAAGTATATTCCATCTTAAGGAATGTACTTTTCTAGTCAGTGATGTTTGTAATCTTTCATTCATTTCAAATCAGCACCATACTCAATAAAAGCAGCAATTTAATCCCACAGCAAAGAGCATACTGAAAAAGTGTATAACTTTCCTGAAAGACTAAAAACAGTTCTTGAATAACAGGATTTCATTTTCACATCCATGAGTGTCAGAGTGGCCTCTTACAAACTACCTATAATCACTGGAAGGACCAGAATCCTGTTAACAAAATTTAATCAAGGACAGCCACTGGAAGAACCTATGACTTGCTGTCAATTTTGCTTTTTTTGGTATGATTCTTGAATAAAGTCACAATGATATAAGCAGGAAAAAATTATTCAGAGGACACCATGAAAATCAGAAGTTACATAAAAATTATTTTAAATATCAAATAGTAATGATTCCAAAAGTCATTCACTTGGCCTGAGAATGAAATATATCACCCTAATGAGTCAGTACTTTTCAATGCACACTCGAGTTAGTTAAGAGGATACGTTGGAAACAGTGTCTGGTGAATGGAAGGGCCCTGTTGGGGCACTGTTCACCCTTCACGGTCCCACTGCATGCTGCCGGCTCCGCCTCCTTCAACTTGGTCCGGCTTATGCTAAGGAACGAAAAACACCAAATAAATTTTTTAAAAATGCTTTAAGAATCCAGGGCAATTATTCAGAATAATGTTACTACTCTATAACATCCACACTTTAACTATCTACATTCATTAATTAAAACACAGGTATGAGTTACTATGACCAGCTCCAAGAGTTCACATACTTTAAGCTATTTCAATGGCTTATTCCACATATTCACCAGTAAATGTGACAAAGTTATTAGATAAAAAAGAATATTTTAATGTTATTCAGTTTATATCCAAACTATATTTTAAGGATACTATTAGAAAGTAGCCATTATAGTCATAACTTTTAAAATATTTAACAACTTTTTAAATGTCTTTTGTGGAACTAGGCCCTTGATAACAAAACTAACTAAATACATAGACGGCATTATTCAACTGACAGCTGATTTCTGCACATTTAAAATATATGTAATGTAACATAAATAAGCTACTAGTCGCTAAGGAATGATTATGGCACGTTGTTATATGATTATCGGTGATGCACTAAGCAATAAACTTTTTCCTATTCATGGGAGACATAACCAAATGACATCAAATAAATCTGAGAATTGTAATTGAGACCATCTTGGTGTTTGCTTTGTAATACTTAGTTATCACGAATTCTTTTTTCTTAAATCACTAAAAGTGGCTTGGGAGATGTTCTGAAAAGAGGTTGATTCTGCCAGTTAAAAACCACAGATAAATACAGTTCCTACACAAACAGCACACTGTCCCAAGCTCACAGTATAGTCCCTTACATCTTTGACAGGGACATAATAACATACCAGACTCAATACACATACACTGGTCTACATACAGACTGCTTCATGCTGGACAAAACTGAAGTTTCTACTGAAATTACATACTTGAAAACATTATATAAATGTTAGAAATCATTATTTTAAAACCGATGTCAAACTGAGTAAATTCTTTCAACAAACAAAGAACAGATCTTCACTTGTTCGATTCTGTTCATTCATTCATCAACACTGGAGACTAAGAACAAAATGTACAACTGTTCCTGCCCTCATAGAAACTACTGTCCAGCATGCCAGACAGTAATACAAGTATAAAAATCTATAATGAAGCAGAGCACAGAGCACAACAGCGTATATAATGGGGACCTAACATAATCAAGACAGTCTGGGAATGTTTCTCAGAGAAAGGTAAGTCTCTGAGTAAGTAAGAAGGAAGCTAAGACCTAAAGATGTTCTAGAACAGACACCACCTCCACTGCAGAGGACTGGAGCTCTGAGAGTGAGGACAATACTGCAGGCTGCAGCCATACTGGAGATGCATTAGATATATGTACATAGTTTCAAACAGCCTAAATATGCCAAGGAGCAGAAAACAAGTCTTAAGACATAGTATTTTTTTTGAGGTACTCAATTGAAAAATGGGTTACTTTTTTATAGGTAATATAATGAAAACTAAAATAAACAAAATGAAAATGAAATTTCAATAATTATGTCTACATGTAAGGATTATGACCAATAGTTACAAAGCAAAGATTAATTTTTAGTTTTTTGTTTGTTTTAAATCCTTTTTTCATCAAATGACTCACGATCACTATAGAAATACTAAAATATACAGACTACAATTTTTTAAAACTTTAATTTATCAATTATCTCACCATCTAGAGATAACCAGTGGTAATATTTAGGTATATAAACTTCCCCAATGTTTTACATATATAAAATATTTACACACACACAGACACACATGCACAGAGAAAAAGGCGAGAAGGAAACAGAATCAAAATGTTCAGTGTTCGTTCTATTTTGTGAATGATCATATTATGGAGATTTTGTTTCTTTTTTCTATTTTTTTTTCAAATTTTCACAATGAGCAAATATTGTCATTATAAAGAGAAGGGATTTTTTTCCCCAAAAGAAATCCAATGTAATAAAACATTTTGAGTATATAATATATGGGATAATGTAGATATTAACAGAAAATACAATGAAAAGAAAAAATTTTTATTAATATAAGAAACATAAAATACCACTTTTGTGGCAAAAAAACTATAAATACTACTTTTAAATAACATGAAATTTCTAAGCACTGGAATTTTCTTTAAAGACAGATAACATCATCAAATCCTCTACTGAATAAATTTCAGTCAAACTTTAGCAAAATTCCAGTAATACGTTAATTTTACTGTCAGCTCATAGCAGCATTATTTTGTCATCTGTGTAGAACTTTGAGCAACAAAATCAAAATACAGTGCTTAAATATTTCAGGATAACATGCTCATCACCCATTGTGTCTCGACTATCCTCCCAAAGAACACAGAAAACAGACTAAGTTGAGTTCTCAGAAACAGGAGGCTGTATGGGGGGTGGGGTGGGGGGCTCTGACCTGGTTCGACTGCATGCAGCTCTCTGCAGTTCTTGGATCAACTGGCCAGTACCTTCTGGCTCTCTACTGGCCGCCTGCAGCAAGGCCTTCCTAAACGTGTGCCGGCATTTCTTTTGCCGAGATTCTGCCCGCTCCAGGCGGCAGAGGTGCTTATATTTCTGCTGAAAGTAAGTGCAAAGTTGGGTCACCCTGGAGCTCCTACTCTCCGTGTCATCATCATCCGACCTAGAAAGTGCAGGGAGAGAAGCAAAAACCTGATTACACGTTAGGCTCATTTTAGAGAAGGGAAAAGTGGTGAGGAAGGGTGGCTGGATGTACAAGGTTGAAACTTGTGGCACGGGAGCACATACTTAACAAAATCAGGGGAAGAGAAATTCAGCAGAACAGCTGAAAATAACTCTAACGTTTCAACGGTAAGTGAGGTGGTAAAGACAATCCAGTGCTTTAAGAAGCTTAACCATCTTAGCTTGTCATAATTAGACACTCAATGCATCAGTGTCTTCTAAATTTTAAGTGACTAGAGATTCCTGGGAAGAAAATAATTTACCTTTATTTACTAAAAAGTCTGAGTAAATGACATGGTGATTATGAGGAAACAGCATAATTTCATAAAAGATAGGTCATACCAAAAATAGAGCAGGGAATTCTAACAGTCTTTTATCAAAAGGCTGCCCTTTCAGATGTACTGGTTTTTAACTACCCTTCTCTTTCTAAGCACTTGAAGAATTTTGATTATAGGGATCACAGTCATTTTATAGTATTTTTTTAAACTGCAGGAGATACCCTAAGTAACATTTTACATACCATGGAATTATGTGGAGGTTTTTCTGTCATGGACTGTTGATTGATCAGTGGCCCCTGCTGGAGGGCTACGTTGAATGGGATGCTGAGGGCACATAGAGGCTCAACAAGAAAGAGCTCTGTGGTTAGTCAGCAATGTCTACCAGCAGGGAGGTTAAAAAGGTCACTTTTCTATGGAACAAATGTGATCTCATTTTTTACTGTTAGGAATAATGCACATGAGACTTGAAACTGACCTGTGTTACTTTACCTTCCTTTTCTTACACCATAACATAAACAAACAGCACACATGTGATAACTACAGGCGACATATTATCTTACTAATCTTCTGTAAACCCTTGCTTGGTTTCTCTTCTGAGGTGGTATCACCCCTTTTTCCTTCAGAATAGCCCATACCAGGCTACTCTGTAAACTTCTGTTTAGTATACATCTCAAGAGACATGTTCGCTTCAGTGTAGTTTCTACTACAGATATGCCAGTTGAAGGATCTCATTTCAACCTTTTCGTTTATTCAACGTTCAACATTTACTGCATGTCATGCCCACTTCGGCAGCACATATACTAAAACTGAAACGACACAGAGAAGATGGGCATGGCCCCTGTGAGGACGACACACAAATTCGTGAAGTGTTTCATATTTCTGACTGAAACGTTATGCTGTGCACCATAAACTGACACAACACTGTAAGCTGACTATACGCTTCAATTTAAAAAAATGGAAAAAATTTACTCCATGTCTATCATGCTGTGCACTACAGAGGAGAAACGAAAAGACTGCTGTGCAATTTAGACAAGATAAACATATCCCCAAAGTTAAACAATTCAAAGGAGGGCAGAATCAGTAACTAAAACTGTGGGGCAGACAGATCAATGGTTCAACTATCTGACCTCAAATAAGGCAAATCTAGGAGATTTTTGAAATTTCAGTTTCCCAAGACCTACCCTAGATCTACAGAACTAGAACTTCCATGGAACGGGGTCTAGGAATGTCTCATTGCTCCCCAAAGTCCCACAGCAGGATTCTATACACCACAGCCAGTCAGTGCTGTGTGCATCTTCAGTGTGAGGGAGAGCACAACAGTAACATGAGAGAGGTACAGATAAAACGCTTTCAAAGTCTGCGGGGAAGAGTGCTGGACGAAAGGCTTTGTAGAGAAGATGACAACAGAACTGAAGCTTGAAGGAAGGGTAGAATGCGAAAAAGAGAAAAGAAAGGTATCTAACAAGGATAAAATACTATAAGCCAAGACACAGAGACAGACAGGCTAGGGAACAAGCAAGGGCTGGGAAGCCTGCTTTGGCTGAGCTGTGGGGTGTGCAGGGGAGTGATGGTGGGTAAGGCAGACTTCCTGAACCTAAACGCCAGATTAATAAACTTAACCTTTACTCCACAGGCAATGAAGAACCTTGTAGATTTTAAGAAAATAGGAAACAGCAATAGAGCTGTGCACGAGGATTACACTGTCAGCAGATATACATGGAAGAAGAGACAGAAGAGAGCAGTGAGGAAATTATTCTAAAACTCCAGGTAAGAAATAACAGGGACCCCACACCAGGCTGCAGGACTACAGACTATGAGAGGTAATCTGCACGGAAAAAAGACAGACTTTGTGAACTGGGCAAGGACGAGGGAAGGGACAATAATCACTCAGCAGTTTCCATGGGCAAAGACCAGGAAGCAGGAGCAAGAGCAGATTTGGAGTAGGATACAAATTCCATTTTAGACCTAGGAGATTTAAAGTACAGAGGAGGCATCAAAGAGGGTGGTGGAAAAACCGTTGGAAATTAGAAACTTGAGCACATTTAGGGAAGAGATACAGATTTCAGAGTTAACAGCTAACAACTGAAAGACATGGGAGTGATTAAAAGTAAAAGGCGACAGAGATAACAAAAAGAAGACATATAAGGGCCATTATCATAAAAGAATTAACTCAATTTGGTGACTGGGTATGAAGGATAAGAAAGTCAATAATGACTCTGAATTTGGATAACTAGGAGAATGATAGTCTCATAAAAGAAAGAGGAAGGAAGAGAAACAGTAAGTCTTAAGGGGAAAATAAAGCTAGGGTGGATTATAGACTGCCAATATTGTTACTTGAAAAGACTCTGTTACTGCAAGGAAAATGGGCTAGATGACTGGTTCTCAAGATGCACCTGGATGTTGAGGCATGTTCTGTCATTACAAAAGCTTTCAAAGCTTCTTCATAACTTTCATACTTATACTGCTGTGGCCCAGTAACTAGCAGTTTGTGGTCTAGCACAGGGCCACACACCATCCCAGGCATGGTCCTGAACTAGAACATCTCCAAGATGTTTCCCGCTTCTAAGATGCTCTGACATTAATATTTCAAACCTGGTTGCTGAGAAAGAGTAACAAACTGGGACAAGAAAGGCCAGTTCCCACCAGTTACCAGCAGTGACAAAGGCTGGCACCTACTGCATTTCTTAGTACGTTAGGTTTCCTTCCTTCTTTAACTTTTCTCATCTGTGAAATGAGAGACATAGTTGGCTCCCCTATCTCCCATGGTTAAGAGAATGAAAAGAAATGATACATGTGAAGTCACAATATAAATACAGGTATTATTATTAAAATGCTACTAATAACTTCAAGTAGAGAGCAGTAAATTCCAAACCTGATTTCCTAAGACTTCCCTTGATTATAATCTCAAGGCACAACATAAAATTCTCCAACTAAAATTCACTTTAATTTACTTTATTAAAACAACAAAAGAGCGAAAACTTCCCACAAAGAAAAGCTTCACAACCAGATGGCTTCACTGGTGAATTATACCAAATGTTTAAAGAAAAATTACCACCAATCTTTCACAAAGTCTTCCCAAAATGAAGAGGGAAGACTTTTCAATTCATTCTATCAGGCCAGTATAACCCAAGCCCAATACCAAAATCGGACAGAAATCAAAGGAAAGAAAACTACAGACAAATATTCCTTGTAAATATAGATGTAAACTTCTCAACAAAATACAAACCAAATCTAGCTGCTAACAGGATTATATAGCATGACCAATGAGACTTACCCAAGGAATGAAGACTGGAATAAGTATATGAAAATTAATCAAGGTAATAGACCATATTAATAAAATAAAGACAAAAAGCACATCATCATCTCAAGAAACACATACTACAATATGCATAAATCTTGAAGACATTACACCAAGTGAAATAAGCCAGATAGTAAAGGACATAAACTGTATGATTCCACTTATGAGTTACCTGGAGCAGACAAATTCATAGACACAGAAAGTAGAATGGTAGTTGCAGCAGCTGGGAAAAGGGAGAAATGTAAACATATTGTTTAACAGGTACAGTTTTCGTTTAAGGAGATGAAAAAAATTTGGAGATTGATAGAGGTGATGGCTATAAAAACAACGTGAATGTACTTAATGCCAATGAACTATATACTTAAAAATGATTAAAATGGTAAATTTTATGCTATGTACACTTTACCATTTTAAAGAAAAAAGGGTCTCAGACTGATAGTGTTTCTCAGTGCATTACAGAAGCAAACATAAATCCTCGATGGAAGAATCCACTTTCATCCATGGATTAAAAAAAAAATCTCACAAATAATTTTCCTTAAAACTTTAACATATATATATATATATTTTTAAATATCCAAGAACAAACATAAAAGGATTGTTTCCCTGTTAGCACCTGGAGTAAGGGCTGGCAGAAACAAGAAACAGCTGATTTCAAATACTGGAACAATCAAACATAGAATATACAATGTGTAAGAAGTTTCAAGAATAAAAGAAAGTTTTAGGAATATGAATAAATAGCAAGTTGATCTGAATAAGAACTGAAGAGAAATTCTGGAAATGTTAAATATAATAACTAAAATTTAAAATTCAATATATAGAAGAACAGGAGATTGATTAGACACAGATGTAAGATAGACTTGAGAGAAAGAGACAATGGGGTAAAGGTACTGTTTCATTGGATAATGGTTGAGAATTTTCCAGAACTGATGAAAGATACCATTCTACAGACTGAAGGAGCCCAACAAATCCTAAAGAGGATAAATAAAAAGAAATCCACATCTAACTACCAAAGTTAGAAAAACAACAACAGAATAAACATAAAGTATAAGATTAAAAAAAAGCAGAAATTAATGAAATAGAAAGCAAATATATAAGAGACGATGAAGAAAAATCAAAAGCTGGTGCTCCAAAAATACCAATATAATAGCAAAGCTCTGGTGTGACTGATCAAGATAAGAAAAAAAAAAAGGAATAATATTAGGAATGAAAAGGAAGCTATAACTACAAACAACAAAAATTAAAGAGAATATATATTGAAAAATTTCAGGCCAAAACATTGTAAATCTTAATTGAAAAGAACAAATTCTTTTAAACTATCACTTACAAAATTGACCTAAGAAGAAACAGAATACCTGAAGAGTCCTATATCCATTAACTAAAATTCAATCACTTATTAAACACATACATAGAAAAGTCCTGGTCCAAATAATTTTACCATGAGTTCTTATCAATATTCAAAGAAAAAATAATTCTAATCACACAACAAATATTCCAAATGTCAGAAAAAGAGGGCATATCTCCTCATTTAATAAGGCTAGCACAAACTTGACACCAAAACTTAATAAGGACAAAGGAAAATTATAGGACAATTTTATTAATGATCATAGAGGCAAAAAATATTAGCAAACCAAATCTAGCAGTATATAAAAAAAGAGATACATACAATCTGGGCTAATCAATGTGGAAACATGCATCAAATATTTTTCACATCTCTTACACAAGGAATTCATTTATTTTTCTTTTCCCTTCATCTTGAAACTTCCTCCTTCCTTGCTTTCTCCCATCGCATTCGCCTCCTTTTTCTTTCCTCTTTCTCTTCTCAATCCTCATTTCATTAATTGGGCTTCTCAATCATTTTCCTAACTTCAACATCAGCTTACATACTAAAGACACAAACTTGGTCTCCAGCCTACATCTCCCAACTAAAATTTCAGACACATAATTATTTGCCGGGCCCATCTACATATAACTAACCAACCAATCCCAGAATTAGCAGGACAGAGTACTGGGGAGGAGAAAGGCACACAGAAAGAGCCCTGAATATTTGCAGAGGGTTCCGTTCAAGTCTTCATCTGCATACTGATTAGTGTAAGCGGGTGTAAAAATAACTGAGTCCAGGAAAGAACTACCTGAAAAGAGAAGACCAAGTAAGTCCCTGAAGTTTACACAGTGCCAGGGTGAGTTTGTGTTTCCACCATCCAGGGTGGAAAAACCTGTAATACTCGGGGCTCTGGGTATACTACTCAGAAGCTTACTGCCTCAATAGTAAGGTAAAATTAGCTCTAAACTAATGGTTGCCTCAAAAGCTGTTTCTCAACATACCCAAACCAAGCTCAGTAATATTTAAAGAATGACAAAAAATATTTGGAATCAAATAATTAAAATTAACAATGTCTGGTATCTGATAAGAAATTGGCAGGGGGGTGGGTATATAGCTCAGTGGCAGAGCACACACTGAGCATGTATGAGGTCCTGGGTCCAATCTGCAGTAACCTCCATTAAAAAATAAAATTAAATTAAAAAGCATTTTAAAAAATTATCAGGCATTCAAAGAAACAGGAAAATAGGAACCATAAGGGAAAA